TTCTTAATAATAACTACATTATGCTGATAGATGTGCCAACTAACATAAGTTTTCTTTCCTCCAACTAAAGATCACACTAGATTTTCTCTGCCAGAAAATGGGATTATTTATATCTAGTAAGAACTTCTATGAACTAGTTAGTGTTGCCAAGTGCTTACTCTTTTGCTGCAGATGGCTATGTTAGGGCACAGTTACTGTTTTTAAAGTTACTTCTATACTTGAAAATGTACATTGACAAGATAATGCAAATTAGAAATAAGCCACAAATGTACTTCCAATGCTGTGGTCACCCAATTCACGTGGGAAATATAAGGGCATATTAAGACTTGCATGAGTAATTCTGCAAAAGAATTAGAGTGCTCAATTTATTAAAATAACACAGACACACAACACACAAATGAAGACTACTAATTAAGGGATCAACATTTTAAAACAGCGAGATCTAAGACTAATGCTAAATGACTTGCAGTTTATTAAGTATCCCTCTGCATGCTGGTAGTGACTGATTCCCTACTCAGATATTTGGAAAAAATTGCATTCCTCTTTAAACTGGCAGAAAGAAACAAAGAATTACCATTGACAAATGTGCTCCAACTGCAAGTAAAAGACAGCACAGATATTCAGTGTATGTGCATGCACCAGATTTATCCAAATCTGTTTAATCTAGGAGGGCAGAAAAAAGAAGCATTTGAACAGTAATTTAGAGTGTGATGGCAGAAGAACATACCCAGTACTAGCACTCAAATACCACTTCTCTAAGGGCAGAGGAAACTTGCATGGCTTGGGAATACCAGCATTTGTAGGTAGCCAACAGCACATAAGGCAAGCATTATATCCAGCTGCTTTCAATTCCCTTGCTCAAACAACCAAAACCTCATTCATAACAGGGGAAGCCTGTAGCAGGAATCCAGGATAAGGTGTAATCTCAGGCCTCTAGTTTTGCATGCAGCAATAAGCTTTTTATACTCTGCTCTGGTTAGCATCATGATTGTAAGGGTTAGATACTGTATTTTTCATGGTGTGTGCTGGTAAAAGGGAAGAAATTATTAATGGACATTTCTGAAAGAGAATGACTGAGGTTCAAGCTGGATGTCAGGGAAAAAACTGTCCTGGGAGGGCAGCATGGCATTGGCAATCACAGAGATATCCATGCTTATAGGTTCTTGACAATCTTTAGGGATTTCCAAAACTCAGCTAGACAAAGTCAAGGTTGACCTGATCTATTTTAGACAAAAGCCCTGCATTAATTAAGCTGTTGTGACATACTTTATTTGAAGACTTTAATAACTAAACAGCTAATAAATGCAATACTTGTTTTATGCATTTTTTTTTTCAGAGACGCAGGAGCATGGGATAAGTCCTTAGAGTAGGTCTCAACAAATATGTGCTTATGAGAGCTGATCTCTCTGCAAGTGAGTAACAGCAACAGTTTCCTCATGTTCTTGGCTGTTCATGGTAAGTGCTCTGCACACTGAGTACAACCTGTAGCAACTATTAAACTGTGTCTTGAAAAACAAAAATATATTGTCTCCCTGTCATTTTTGTTTTGTTTCAGTTTATAATCACGTTATCTATTTGACTGCTTTCTGTGGCTTGTCCAACTCAGCTGATCTTTTACATGCAGTGTAGTATCATTTTCTTCTTTGAATCCCTTGATCAGCTCCATTTATACTTTGACATCACGTTCAAGAGGCTTATACCTACCTTTTCCTATGCTGTACTATTCAGACTGATCTCTATTTTCTTTCCTTTCTTTTCAGTGCTTTTTGCAGTCCCAAGGTTATTTCATTCTCCCAATCCTACTGTTTCTATCAGTTAAAAGTCACCAGAAACATTTATTTTTCTTTTTATGTTTCTGCCTTCTTCCTTGCTCTGTTTCTATTTCACCCTTCTGTTTTTATTTTATTTTTTTTCCTCTCATTGTGTATGGAAATTATTTAGGCAAGAAATTACTTTGAAAAAAGGGTTTATTCTATCTGTGACTCAGGGTTAATACAGTTGTACCTATAAAGACAGGAATAAAAGTTAGGTGGCTCCTTATCTGTCTATGGTTTTCACTAAAGTATGTTCCATTTCCAACCAGTACCTAGAAATTTTCCATATAACTGTTCCAGATATATCTCCCCTAAAATATATTTTATGTAAATTTGAAATTTCATGACATTTGTGTTTGCCTTAACAACAAATCTACTGTCTACTGTGTTCACACTTGAATGTTATATTAAAAAAAAAAAAAAAACTCATTCATAACAGGGGAAGCCTGTAGCAGGAATCCAGGATTTCTATAAGTTCTATATAGATATTTCACTTTTATCATTATTTTTGATTTAAATGTAACTTCTCATTTCAGGCATTATTTATTTTGGTGAATGCATTGTTCTTCCATGTCTTTTAGACAAATATCACACTGGTGATATTGCATGCATTTTAAAAATTATCTCAGCTTTTTTAGCAGCTGTCTTTCAATTTTGCCTACTCATGAATTTGGAGGGAGAGAAGCACACAGTACACTTAGACTGCTGTGGAGCCATGCTTAAAAACATATAAGCTTTTGAGAACAAAAATCCACCTCCGTTTCAGCAGCATTCCTAAACCTGCCAATTGTTTACTGCTTGCTTGAATCACACACAAATTCTTCAATTAGTCCTCTTTCAGCTTGAAGCTTTCAGTTTTCTAAAGGCCACCACTGGGCTAAGAATAATAAACTCTCTGATCAGCTGTCAGACATCAGTTTATTGCATGGTAGAAGAAGGCTAAAGAGTCTAGCTTTTGCTTTAGGCAGTTTTATGCCTCTGGAACGATGGGTAACTCCAGTAGGTCTTTCTTCCTCTAAACAGGCTCATCTCTACTGAAGGAGGCATTTTTTTTCTGGGACTCCCCAGGTATACAGTCAATATGTCTTGAATCCCAAATATTGTTTCTCTTGTATTTCCAATTACTTTTATCTGGATAAAGTTTCTCCACCTCTAGAGTCACCTATGTTTTGTAGATTTATTCACTCAATTTTATTGACAGAGAACTTGTTGAAGGTAATCACATGCTTCACTGCTCATCTAAGCAGAAGGTTTTCTCTTGAACAAAACAAAATCTGATCTGAGGTCATGGTGCAGTATCAGAAAAACTTAACCATCTTTTCCCACTTTCCTTTCACTATGCATACCAAGGAATCCAAATCCTTTCTGCATCTTTACTAAACACTAAGTGGGGAAAAAAACATTCAAAGACAGATGGGCTTCTCCATCAACATGGATTTTTTGTCTCATCTCAGCTGCATGCTGTTCAAGCCACTTTCCAGTAAGACCATTAGACCTCTCAGCTGGCACTGTTTTCACTTATCTTCTACATCCTCTACTCCTGTTCTAGTGTCTCTGGTCTATTATTTAATTTGGCAGACAAATACACTCAACTGGCCCCAATACATTTTCTGGCCTCCCAAGTTTTGTTAGCTGCCAGAATGTGAGCATATCCCTCAGCAATGGAAATAAGGACTTGTTGTGTTATTGTATCTCATTTATTAATCTGCTGAGGAAAGTTTTCTTGTTTCTTTGTGAAATAGTGAGTTGTGACTCATTGACATATTGTGACATGTGTCCTAAAATAACACTCATTTCTTCTTTTAAAAATCTGACCTAAGAGATTATGGCATACAGCTTGACAGCACCTTTAGGAAGTGGCAGCTCCCAGGAAAAAGAAGGCATTTCTAGAATATAGAAGCAGGAACTTTATCAGCAATTCCCAGAATGGAGTGTTACAATACTTTTGTTGTGCTATGAGTTTTGACTACATGGTACTTTGCAACCATACAATGGCCAAAATATCTTTTCTTGCATTTCCTATCAGGCTTTCATAGAAAGTTGGTCAAACCTGACTATCTCTGAGGTAAAGGAGAGAATTTAGTTGAAAACCTTTCGCTGAAAAGTGAACTCAAACAACATCTTTTCAGTCAGAACAAACAATAAGCAATGCTAAAGTGTATCAGAACTACTTGAACTACAGAACTACAAGTTTAAGGAGGTACCTAGTGTAAATATTAATTTTCTTTAAGAGGTTTCAGTAAATGCTGTACTCATACAAAATAGTAACAGATATGCATACATGCATGCATACATTCATGCATGACATTTTGCATTTGTAGTGACACTTCACATGGAAACTTCACATATATACATGTGTATTTGCTTTATATTTTTAACAGTGGGAATTATTTAAAAAATAAGTTGAGCAGACTACTTAATGTGCAGTGATTATTAAATTGTTTATCTTTGCATACAGCTGTCTTGTGTAAAACCAAGGTTTTACAAACATGGTTAAGGGAGTTTAAAAATGGCAGATTGTTATTTGAGCAGAGCTAATTTACCAAGCACTTTACTAAGTGCTAATAATGTACCTGAATTAATTAATTAAGTGCATAATAATGTACCTGAATATGGAACTATATATTTATGAGACAAACTTCTTTCGATTCTGAATTGTGTGTCACTACAATCCAGTACACTGCTAAATATATATTTAAATATTGAATAAGAGAAGAATGTCTGATAAAAAGAAAAGAGAAGAGAATCTCACTGAGGTTACTCTGCCAAGGCAATATAAAAATCTGTTGTGGTGTTTCTAAGGATAATAATAAGAGGTGCATTGTGGTATAAAAGAATACCTCATATGGGTTTCTGGAACAAAGGAACTATCATCAACAAAGTAACACAAGTTGATTTGGAGGAAAAAAAAAAAAAAAAAAAAGCTACTGCTAACTTCTTAATTACCAACCATCTTTGTTACAAACCATAATTAGAGATTTTCATCAGGTCAGCAACCTATCCTCATTATCCTGATGCATTTCACTCTCCAATCTTCCCATTTTCATATATGAAGATGAAATAAATTTTCCCTCATTTAATGGCCATTTAATTTGAATATTTTCCCTACAAGCTCATTTGCCACTAGATGCCACTAAAGGTCAGACAGGCTGCTGAGGAGATTGAGAGCCACCCATAGACAGTGTTGTACTAATTGTCGTACAGAAAACACGGGGAGTATTGTACTCCCTATGGTGTCCAGAAGATGCAAGTCTCTGAAGCTGAGGGAAGGCAAAAAGCAGTCACATTTCTGTTGTACTTGACTATTAAATCAATGCAGCTGACCACATCATCAGATGCCTAATAAGAAATACCACAGTATCTGGAGATGATTTAGTGAATTAACAATTCACTAGGCTATACAAAAATGAATTAAGAGAAATACATTGGGGAATTCTTGTGGGACCACAGCCTCTGAAGACAACTGCTCTGCTGGGATGGAAACTAACACAAGTAGGATGTAATTAAGACAGCAGCTAACTTCTATAGCCTGTTTAAGGCCACGGAGGAGTAAGAATACATGTGAAAGATAAGTATGCAAAAACTCCCATCAAAATAAGGTCATGAACAGTTACAAGGAGATGCTTTAAAGTTATGACATGGGTTCCTAACTGGGCTGGTAAAAAATTCTGGCTATGAATCAAGAGAGAAATGACAGAAGACAAGAAGGAAGTTACTTTGCATATTAGTTGTTTTTGTTTGTTTGTTTGTTTTGGTTTGTTTGTTTGTTTTTGTCCCCCAGAGCTCCTGCCTCCTCGCTCTTTATTTTGATGGAAAACATTTATACTGTCTTAAAACTGGATTGTACGCAATACTCCTAACCCGTTTGCAGAGAGTGGTTTCAAACTGCTTTGTCCAAGGAGAGCTACACAGGACTTTATGTTCAGGAGCTATAATCTCATCAGCAAAACTTCCTTTGAATAAACTGTGACATTCTTCAGAAATACATGGCTAGTTCCTCCTGGTATATCTGAGGCACCACAAAGAACTTTGTCTGGGTATGGTTATATATCCATTCCCCAGGGATAGTTTGAAGCACCCTCAATGAAAGGATCTTCGATCGGTGTTTTTTCTGTACCCAAGTTTTCAGTTTTCCTTGACCAGTGCATGGAGTATTCTTGTGGGAATTTTTTTTTTTTTTTTTGTCTGGAATTTGGGATAAAGGAAGGGCATTACTTTCATGGCCTAATCTAGCTCAAAGGCTAATACAATGAATGTTAATTCCATCAGGGATCTTTTATGTTTTCAAACTTGTGAATAACTTGGAGTGATTTGTACACACAGGTACTAGGCAGAAATTAGAAATCTGGCAAATGTTTATCAAATATTAGAATGTATCACCATTTTGAACCAACCTAAGAATGCCTGTGTTCCGTGAAATCTTCTCTGCTGAGCTGACTTAATGAGAAGAGCGTTTTGAGGATGTATTATTTATAAGGTACAAAACTTTGTGTTTGCTAATGATTCTCTGTATGGACAATGAAACACTGCAAAGCAGTATTCAGTATTATTAACTTTTACTTTTCTTTTTGGCTCACATTTCTGCACAAAAGACTTACCATCATAAAAAATGTAGTGATTGGTGCCAGTTGTCATGCCTTGTGGGTGTTGGCTTGGCAAATAGTTTAAATATGGAGCAAACCAGCCAATTCATTTTAGCAATGTGGAAAAAGGGATTCATAGGGATATACTTTGTGTCATTTGTGTCAAGCGCAAATATGCAGGTTATTTCCTCAATTTCCTGGGTAAATGTGTAGTTGTTTTATGACATGCTTGAATAACCTCTCTGTATAACTCAGAGAAGCAACTGGTCAAATATAAATGTGTCTGTAGTTAACACCAGTGGCAGTTAAGACTTTCTTTTATAGGCTGGCATAAGTTACAGCACTATGGCAATGCACTGCACTCCTGTAAACTTCCTGTCTGCAAGTTGATTCATGCAGACCGTTCTGCCTCCCTGCCCTTTGGGTGATGAAATTACATCCTGGAATTACTGGTCAAGCAGAGCACATGAAAACTGTACTTTGTAGTCTGACAAGACCAGTGGTTGTGACTTCAAATGAAGAGATGGGAATGCACTTTTCAAGGAGGCACCCAAATCATCGCTCACCTTTCAGCACATGTAGGAAGATTTAGGTACAAGAGATATCTATCTGAGTAGTGGTACTAATCACACAGACTGAAGAAGAGGAAAGGAAGATTCAGCACATTCAGAATTTGAAAGTGAGCTGCAGAAGAGAACATCTGCAAGAACCAAATGTTTCAAAGAAAAGCCATTTTATAAAGGTAAGAGACACTGTTAATCCAAAAGTGAACTGTATTTGTATATATTTCAGATGAACACAGCAGTGCAGTATGTGAGGAAAATACCTTGGGAAAATAAAATTAAAAAGTAGAAGACAACTGAGTTTTAGGCACTTAGATTTTTTTTTCTTTTGTATTGTTTCCTTTCTTCCTTTTAAGTTTTGTGCTGTTTATTTTTTTTTTTTAATTTTTATTTTTTTATTTTGTTTTGTTTCATTTTTAAGATAGCAAAATTTGTAAACTATACCTATGTCTAAAACACTGTAGTTTGGGAAAAAAAAAAAAAAAAAAAAAAAGGAGAGAGATCATTTCCTTCTGTCCAAACACGACTAAAGACAAAATTTGTCTCCATGAACAGATCAGTCTTTTATTACAGTGCTTTGACACAACACATTAAGTATAATAAAGATTATTTGGAGCTTTTATGGCATTTGACCTTGTTCCATGTAGCACAGATATCAAGAACGCACCTGTTGTTTATGTGTGTTCAACAAATTACTTGGCTGTGGCAAAGAGTAAATACAGCTAAATGAATTTCATATTCAGATTCAGCACTTAATAGATGTATTTTTCAGCATAGTGGAGGAAAAACTGTATATACTGCTGTTGCTTCTCCTCATGGTTCTCCTGTAAAGAGACATGCACACAGCAATGTACAGCTAAGACAAGGATCCTGGCATGTCTAGCCAGTTTTATTAAGCATTCCTGCAAAGGCTGCCATTGCAGGTCCATGTGCTATCTATGTCTGTGCCATTTCCATGGTGCACTGCAGTCACATGTGGTCACTATTAGGATTTCTTCAGCAGAAGAGATTGTGTTGTTTTGTGCTTCTTGATTCTCTCTGCTCCAACCAGTGACATACCACAGAGCTAAATCAGGTAGACACTCTGTTGCTGTTTGTATCTGCATTATTAATACAGCATAGTGCATGCACTGATTTGAGGCCACATTCAAACCTTGTGCTTGCTATCCAAAATCAGAGTTAGATACCAGGGATGAGACTGTCTATGCTAGCAGCATGAATAGCAGAGTGGAAAAATCTCTGCTGTGTTGCAGTCTCTGCAGAATCCCCCTCTTGGCGCATCACAGTTTTCTCAGTCTGATGGGCTGACATCATCAGTCAGTCAACCAAAAGTAGCTTAAAGAGCACTGACTTATGGAATTATTAAACTTGTAGGGAACCTACCAGACCCCTCCAACACCAGATCAAGCAAAAAAAGGATTCTCACAACCTCAGAAATATATCACTGCTTCCTACAGTGAACTTTTCATGCACAGAGAAATAAATTTCCTTCATGTAAAATAATATAAATTAGATATCAGTATCTATTACTAGATTAAGGGACATTGTGTGTTTTTGTTTTCCAGCATAATAGGAATTGTGTGAGGAAAGACAGTCTAATAATCTTCACATATTTTCAAGAAATTGTCAAAGAAGAACATAAACTATATTCCTTGTTCACTAAGAACAAAACTAGATTATAAGCATAAAGTGTTACAATGAAGATTTATATTGGAAATTACTAAAAAACAAACAAACAAACAAACCAAAACAAAAGTTTGATGGCTATTAATTAGAATAGCTTGTCCTGGAATTGTGGAATTACTATCATCATTTGATTTTAGTAACAACCAGTAAGATGGTCATCTTTCAAGAAGCGTTCAGATACAGATGATGTTTTCTTTGGGTAGTGAGATAAACTACATGACTTGCAATGTCATGTCTAGCCTTACTTTTTATAATTCTCCACTTGGCCTGGTCAGAAGCTGCAGAAGCTGGCATCACATATGCTGTCAGAAGCTGGCACAGTATGTGTGCTAGCATAGTGTATCCTATGGAGGATAGCAAGCATATATCTGGCAATTGCTTCTGGCTCAGTATATGTCAGATCTCATATGTATTATGATATTAATTTAATATTTAATTAATTTACAGAAATGTTCCAGAGAGAGAAGAGAAACAAACTCTAAGACAAAGGCCTTCCTGAAAACTTCGGGTCCTACCTACTAACATTATTTTGTACTGAGGAAACATTGATAGAGTTGATTATTTGGAGTATCCTGACAGGAGAAGGAAGTAGGTTTTTCAGAGGAGGCGTTTGTTCTGTGTGAAGAAAAGTTTCTATTGCTTCACATATAGGGGTGGTAAGGGTTAATATGGGACAGCCATTGGCCCTTTGTCCTGTCCAGCAGCCTCCTCAGTGACCATGTTCAGTATTAGAAAAAATCATACCCCCCATAAACAGAGTGGAGGAGAACTGGACTGAATTTAACTAACGGTTCAGTTGGGATGCAGGGACTTGCTTGGGCAGCCCTCTGTAACTACAGTATCACAACAGATGCTTCTACCATTTCAAAAGAGCCTTTTCAAATGATTTTGCTTCAGGGGTGTGTCATCCAGCCTCAGTGTGTGATTGTCCTGATGATGCTAACAGTATCGCTTTCCATACCTTGATAGAGACAGTTGTTTAAGTATGCACTTGTGCGTATTCAACAAGTTAACTCTGTTTCTAACCAGATATGTATTTAGTTATAAAAAACTAGAGTAATGCAATAAAAATTACTCATTAGATTCATATTTATTTTTTTATCCGTGCTTGATCACCATCTTGTATTTCATGCCCACAAAGTAGAGACTGAAGTCTCTGTGTCAGGAAAAGTTGGAGGTGTAGCAGTACCAGTGCTTCCCAGAGGGAAGAAGGTTTAGTTTCTGCTGTTACAGACATTTGGGAGAGCAACTGACAGATTTATCCCATCTTCTCCCTGCTCTGTTTTGTTATATAAAAGGCTTACCTGAGTCATAAACTTCAAATAGGTGTTTTTTAAACAACACAAAAGAACATCACAAAGGCCATTCAAACATATACTTAATCAGTGTGTACCTATTGTATGTACTTTCATAACAACCATGTTATTTGGTTATAACTGGAAAATCTAATTTTCTTATGATACATATATATATTTTTGATATGTGTATATATATAAGAATATATATATAAACAGAAAAATAGTGTATGACAATCAACTTTTTCTAGTTATGATCAATATATAACCATACGTATAACTATATATATACATTTATGAATTTGTAAACCATATATAATATACAAACGTATTAAAATATGAAAGCTGACTGAATATCACCTATCTGAATATTGTGTGTCTCCTAGATTGCTGAACAATTCCTAAAATTGCTCAACGGAATCAGCCTTGAAAAGGCTTCACATGAGGGTGGTGAGGCACTGGAAAAGGTTGCACAAAGAAGTTGTGTATGCCCCATCCAGGATGAGGCATCCAGAGAACTAAGTGATTTTTATTGTCTCTTCCAAGCCAAACCTTTGTATGATTCTATGATTTCATGAGACCACTCACTGCAGTATGCTCCCTGGCTTTTAGAAACACTAGTCTGCATAAGAATCTGTTCTGCTTTCTGTCCTCTCTGGGGTCCTCTACAGTGGTACAAAAATGGGCTTTACCTTCAGTCTAAATATTAGACTCTGGTGGCCTTCCATAATAGAGTAGCTGCATCAGTCGACAAAGGAAGATTGACTTATGTCATCCACCTGGACTTCAGTAAGGCCTTTGACACAGTCCCACATGACAACCTAATCTTTAAATTGGAAAGAAAAGGATTTGAGGGGTGGACAATCCAGTAGAAAAGGAATTGGCTTGATGGCCACACCCAGGGACTGGTGGCCAACGGCTCTATGTCCAGGGGGGAACCGGTTACGAGTGGTGTCTTAGGACCGGTGCTTTTCAATATCCTTATCAATGACATAGATGATGGGATTGAGTGTACCCTCAGCCAGTTTGCAGATGACACCACACTGAGTGGTGCAGTTGATACCAAAGATAGAAGGGATGCCATCCAAATGAACCTGGACAGGCTGGAGAAGTGGGCCTAAGTGAACCGACTGAGGTTCAACAAGTCCAAGTGCAAGGTGCTGCACCTGGGTCAGGACAGTCCCAGAGAGAAGTATAGAATGGGAGAAGAACGCATTGAGAGTAGCCCTGTGGAGATGGACTTGGGGGTTCTGGTGGATGAAAAGCTCAATATGAGCCAGAAGTGCGCACTTGCAGTCCAGAAGGCCAACTCCAGGCTGGGCTGCATCAACAGAGGAGTGGCCAACAAGCGGGATCCCTGACCTGCAGCATAATCTGTGCATCTAGCATAAATGCTGCGTGAGAAGACAATACCAGAGTCCTCAGCAGCCACGTGTTCCCTTGCTATCAGTGATTGTCTCCAAGGCTCCTTATTTCCTTCTAAAGAGATTTTTGGCCTTGTCTCATGCAGAAGAAAATGGGATCTGCAGGCAGGCTAAGCTTAATGTACATGCTGACTGCTTAAAAGGACAGTATGATTAGCCAAAGTGATTTTATTCTGCCCAGATGAAGACATCTGTCATGTAAATGTATACATCTAAGCTGTTCATTCTAGACTTCCATTAAAACCAATGGAGATAAATAGGCACATCCAGAGTGCAGTTCACCTCATTTATCTCACGCTCTAATATGTGTCCAAAATAATCAGATTAATTCATCCTATCTAATATTGTTTCTCCCTGTTGATTACAAAGGGAATCTAGGTGATTAGCATGATATAGATATCTTATTTGTTGTTGTTGGTTAAAGCTGGGGAGATGACTCCTATCTCACTTCCAATCTCTAGACTAATCTGTGGGGTTCCAGCAGCCCTGGGTATGATCTGAAGTGTCATTTTAGAGATCCACTTGTTAAGAGACTCTCCTAAATGTTAGGCTCAAAACACCAGACACAGAAAGGTTGGGAAAAAAAAAAAATCTTAAATTTTCATGTCGATGTTCTTACTTCTCACACAGTGATTTAAACTCCAAAGGGTTTGTTTTCATCTGCTGCACTTGGCCATCCATATGGTCCCAAATAACATTAACTTTATCAAGCTATATCAGGGACAATGGTGGATGCTTCTTCTAACTTAATTCTGTCCTGGGTTAACAAGAAAC